ATAGCAAACCAATCTATATCTCATTTACATAAGTATTCACACCCCTTTGCTATGACACTCCAAATTGAGGTCTGGTGCGTCCAATTTCCTTTGATCATCCTTTAGATGTCACTACACTCTTGATTGGAGTCTACCTGTGCCCAACATGATTAAGAAAGGAACACACCTGTCTATATAAGGTTCCACAGTTGACAGTGCATGTCAGAGCAAAAACTATACCATGAAGTCCAAGGAACTGTCCGTAGATCTCCGAATTGTGATGAGGCATATATCTGGGGAAGGGTATAAAACTATTTCTAGAGTGTTGAAAGTTTCCAAGAGCACAGTTGTCTCAGTCATTGGGAAATTGAAAAAATATGGAACTACCCAGACTCTGCCTAGAGCTGGCCATCTGACTAAACTGAGCGACCGGGCAAGAAGGACCTTGTTAAGGGAGGTGACCAAGAACCCAATGACCACTCTGACAGAAGTAGAGTTCCTTGGCTGCGATGGGAGAACATGCCAGAAGGACCACAGTCTCTACAGCACTTCACCAATTTGGGCTGTATAGGAGAGACGGAAGCCACTCTTGAGAAAAAGGCACATGACAGCATGCCTGGAGTTTGCAAAAAGGCATGTGAAAGACTGAGCTCATAAGGCAAAATATTATGTGGTCTGATGAGACAAAAATGTAACTATTTGGCCTGAATGCAAAGTGCTATGTCTGGAGAACCAGGCACAGCTCATCACCCGTCTAACGCCATCCCTACCTTGAAGCATGGTGCTGGCAGCATCATGCTATGGGGATGCTTTTCAGCAGCAGGGACTGGGAGACTGGTAAGGATAGAGGGAACAATGAATGGACCAAATACAGGCAAATCCTTGATGAGAACTTGCTTCAGAGTGCAAACGATTTACTTTCCAACAGGACAATGACCCTAAGCATACAGCCAAAGCAATGCTGGAATGGCTTTAGAACAAGAATGCGAAAGTCCTTGAGTGGCCCAGCCAAAGCCCAGGCTTGAATCCCATTTGAAAATCTGTGGAAAGACTTGAAGATTGCTGTTCACCGCCGCTCCCCATCTAACTTAAGAGCTTGGGAAAATCTGCAATGAACTATGGGAGAAAATCCCCAAATCCAGATGTGCAAAGCTTATACAGACATACCCAAGACGACTCAAAGCTGTAATCGCCGCCAAAGGTGCATCTACAAAGTATTGACTCAGGGGTGTGAATACTTATGTAAATTCGATATTTCTGTATTTCATTTTCTATAAATGTGCACTAATTTCTAGAAACATGTTTGCAATTTGTTATTATGGGGTATTGTGTGTAGATGGGTAAGAAAAAAACTACTATTTAATCAATTTTGAATTCAGGCCGTAACACAACAATGTGGAATAAGTCAAGGGGTATGAATACTTTCTGAAGGCACTGTAATTTATTCTGGTATTAGCCCATCGTGTACTTTCCACACACATCCTAGTATTTAAAGTATATTGACAAATCTGTGCTGTTTAAAAAATATTAATTCATTTATTTACCGTCCAATGTTGACCTTTCCGACATCTCTAGCATTGAGACTGATTCGCTTAGGGCTGTAGTCCAGAACAATATGTTTAATGTCGTGCAATGACATAAACTAAACCGCTGCCCTCAATCTTAAGGAAAGCAGTCTATTCAAATGGTTTAGTTTCAAGCTAAACTATTTTCATATCATGCTGTCTCACATACACACACTGCCAATTGCCCCCCAAAAATGCTTTTATTCCAGGAATTTCAGTTTGAAATAAAATGTTCAAATTACTATTGTATTAGGGCTGGGAATTGCCAGGGGCCTCACAAATGTTTTTCTTTGTCGATACATTTTCAGAATGATCTGGTCGTGTGTTCCTATTTCATGGAACATTTTCCTATCATTTACATTTTAGTAATTTAGCAGATGCTCTAATCCAGAGCGATTTAGAGTTAGTGAGTGCATACATATATTTTTTTTCTTCATACTGGCCCCCCGTGGGAAACGAACCCACAACCCTGGCGTTGCAAGCGCCATGCTCTACCAACTGAGCTACACAGGGCCCCATCCCATCCTCCAATCAGCCATGAATAGGAACATTTTAACCATTCAATATTTATTTGAACATTTTATTAAATAGGAATATCATTGGCTTTTTGTGTGGAACAATGTTGAAAAACATTGATGGGGAATTTTTATAGATCCTTCAGAAAGCATTTATGATGGCTGTTTCACGTTTTCAATTCGATAAAAGATGCAGCAAGCCATTTTGTTTGCAGGGTATCCATTCTAAATACATTAAAGTTATACACAATGGAAATGTTATATGGGTGCCAAAACGATTCTGGCCTAGTTAGAAGCCCAAATCAAGCATGTATTCAGTATTTGTTCAATAATTTAAATAGGTAAATTCTTCGGTATTCATTTGATTCCCTTTTTCTTCTCTCAGGGTGAATTGACCTTTTAGTCTCCATTTTAGCAAAACCTTATGTAATGGGCTGTACTGAGGCATGAAAAATGTGCTCAATACCCAACCTTTTGGTCATTGATTGATTTTCATCCATTTAAACCATATGGGGGTGGGGGGGGGGGATCAATGATGCCTTGCCTTCCCAGAATCCATTTGTCAATGTCCATGAATGCTATTTCCAGGCTGTTTTCAAAGTGTTGTGCTTACGACACCATTTTGGAGTTGGCCTCAATTCGGTTTCACAGCATTAGATTATTTGGAAACATTCTGTGGTATGTTTTTGTTCCTGATATTGAATCTTGGAACGGATATTGTCAAATTCCATAATGTGAATAGCAAGAGGTCTAAATCCTCCATTTTGAATGTAGATGAAATAATGTAATATGTGACTGTCATGCCTCTGTAGTTATGTGATGGAATTATTTGATCAGTGACGAAATGGAAAAACCAAATTAGGCCTACATGAGGCATAAAAATGAGATTGTCGCTCTCATATTTATATATGCAGGTGACAATATCTGTATCATTGTGTGGCTTATGAGAGAGATTCCCTGAAATGGCACATAATGTTTTCTAAAATGTGGTTTGTTTGCTTTCCACCATGAGATTTCACATGCTTGATTTAGATTTATTACACGACTGTTCCAGCACAGAAGCAAACACATCTCAAATAGACTGGGCTAACTATTGATAGCTAACTCACAATTGCATAGCAGCAGACCAAGCAGCACAGCATTAATACCTACGTGTGCTAAAGGAATTTTGTGGAGAAATTAATCACGTTCTGCCATTAGGGTATGAAATCCAATCATGTCCAGCTCTGAGAGGGATTTCACTTTTCTGCTTTTTCCTCTCGGCAGATATTCCACTCCATGTAGCTTCCTGCCCCCACTTGTTCCTGATGGGGCTGTGTTTTTGTAAAAAAAGAAAAAGTATTGTCATAATTTCCAACACAACATGGCGCACGGCCGCGACACGGCTGCTGCTGAAATGAACACTCAGCCGTTCCCTTCGCTTCCCAAATTAGCTTTTACGGCCTCCAATCTGCCCAGGCTTGTTGAATTGGCCTCTTTTGAGTGAGATTAGAATGTCATTGTCGGCTAGCTACATTTCTTTGCAGGCATCATTTTATCAAGTAGGCTATAGATGTCTGAGGCGGTTAGTCGTTTTGCATTTATTCTAATGCTATATGATGTTAGTATAGCATCAGCCCCTTAAACTGTTGAACCCATGCTGATATGAAAAACATGGAGGTTCTGCCATTGTCAATTTCTCTACCAGATCAGGAGTGTTTTCTCTACCAGCATTTTCTCTACCATGACACACCAATGTAGACTAGATTGCAAAATTATGGAAATGGGGCATGAAACAATGGAGCAGGAAACACCTTTTGAAATTAATATTTAACAAAGTTGGAGTAACTGGGAATTGTTTAATGTTTTAATGACTAGCCTACATGCAATGAGCTTCTTCCCTCCTACCACACACCATTCTATTGAACCAATACCCTTTTACGATATTGCCAGCTCTGTCTAAGGAACTCCTGATTTAACCCATTGCCATCCAGCAATACTCCCTCCACAGCTTGGGAATCTAAAAGTTCTGCACAATTATTCATATTTAGGGTGACAAACGGAAACATAGCAATGCTATATTTTTGGGGACAACAGCTGCCCATGTAACTATGATCTGTTTTAATCATTAGCGCCATTGTCAGTCAGTTATCCCTTCCAAGAAAAGGTGCTGCCCATGAAATGTAATTTCTCTTTCCACTAAAAATCTGTCATCCAGGTTATAACTCTGTTTTGCTTGGTTGCATTTTACTTTACTCGAGCCCTCTCATTATAGTCCTAGTGTACAATGGTACTTGCAGTAGAAGGCTGGGTAATTTGGATTTTTTTGGGAATTAGAACACCTGGGTGCTGTGGATTGTCATCAAAGGTCACCCATACACAATGAAGCACTGTGCTGTAGGGCTAATAATAGATAATAATAATAATAATAATAATGCAGATCTCCCATCTCAGCCCCTCCTATTTTGGACAAACTCCATTGTCACGGGTCACAATCTTTTATAGATGCTGGTTTTGGTTGCCCCCATGGTTAGAATATACCTTTTTTTATTAATCTCAGTAACAAAATTGTTCAGTACCTGGACAGAGACTAGAGAAATGGTATTGAAATAATGTCCTTATGGAGACCATTTTTAGAACCATTAAATTGCACTTTCTCTCATTGGTATGCCAGACTACCTCTCTCTCTTTGAAGTACCTTGGTCAGGCATATGGTAGTCTGTGAGTGTCAAGTGCCTTGCTTTAGAACTTGCTAAAGATGGGTTTCTCAGAGCTCTGCTGCCTTGATGTTATCCCTTGATGTATTTGAACTGCACCCGTTTGTTTCAAAGGAAGGCTGCTGTTTTTGGAGAGTTGGATTAGTAATTCTGGCTTGTTTTGTTTCTTCCTCCTCCTGCCTTTTGCCTGGCTGTCTGTTGCACTCACTCACAGCCCCAGGAGTGCTGGCCCTGAGCAGTCAGTCATGAGTGCTCAGGAGGTGCCCGCCAATCCTGGGCAGGAGCAGGTTGACGTGGGGGGTGGAGTCCCAGATGGCCCCTCCCCTACCCCGACCACCACCTCCGCCACCCTCGCTGTTCCGGTCACGATAAAGAAGGAGCCTGGCTTGCAGGGGGCCAGTAACGGGAAAGATGTGCCTGCCGAGATCTGTGTTGTCCTTGGTGGAGGAGGAGGAGGAGGAGGAGGAGCAGCAGAAGGAGGAGGAGGAGGAGGAGGAGGAAGGTCGCGCAATGACCAGACCCAAGGTACGATCCCTTGCACCTGTCATTTTAACTTCTCCCTCTGTATCTGTCCTCTGTTCCAAACCTGTGCACCTGCACCCGGCCATGAAAATGTCCTCATCTCAACTGCTTCATTTTTACCTACTCCCAACATCTGGGTTTGTTACACAAAACTGTTTTGCACCTGTCATTAGCTACCTCACACCTTTCTTAGCCTGCCCTCATTCACACTGGCCTCCTGAAGTTGAACATTAACCATCTCAGCTGGAATGTATCTGGTATTTACTGAGAAATTACATGCTAGGAAACCGGTACATTTCTGTACATATTTAGAAGAAAAGGTAATCATTAGGAAATTATGTAATAACTGTCTGACCATGTAATGTATTGATAAATACATGTGAATCAAGACTGGTCACTTATTTTACAGTCTTAACTAAGACAAACCTTGTGCAATCATTTTAAGTCATGTTGTTACACGCCAGTGATATCGATGCAGTTAACTCTTGTAGCTTTTCCAGCGCTCTCTATTTTGCTTTTCCTCTCATACAGGCTCCTACGTTTGCGGGATATGTGGGAAGAAATACAAGTACTACAACTGCTTTCAAACACACGTCCGTGCACACAGAGGTAAGGAAGGCCTACCCTGAAACACTGTAATGCTTCTTTGTGTGATGAAATGGGAATTGTTTGATACACTATATGATCAGAAGTATGTTGACACCTGCTCTTCGAACATCTCATTCCAAAATCATGGGCATTAATATGGAGTTTGTCCCCCCTTTGCTGCTATAACAGCCTCCACTCTTCTGGGAAGGCTTTCCACTAGATGTTAGAACATTGCTGCGGGGACTTGCTTCCATTCAGCCAGAAGCATTAGCGAGGTCGGGCACTGATGTTGGGTGATTAGGCCTGGCTCGCAGTCGGCGTTCCAATTCATCCCAAAGGTGTTCGATGGAGTTGAGGTCAGGGCTCTGTGCAGGCCAGTCAAGTTCTTCCACACCGATCTCGATAAACCATTTCTGTATGGACTTCGCTTTGTGCACGGGGGCATTGTCATGCTGAAACAAGAAAGGGCCTTCCTAAAAGTTGGAAGCACAGAATCGTCTAGAATGTCATTGTATGCTGTAGCATTAAGATTTCCCTTCACTGGAACTAAGGGGCCTAGCCCAAAACATGAAAAACAGCCCCAGACCATTATTCCTCCTCCACCAAACTTTACAGTTGGCACTATGCATTCGGGCAGGTAGCGTTCTCCTGGCATCCGCCAAACCCAGATTAGTCAGTCGGACTGCCAGATGGTGAAGCGTGATTCATCACTCCAGAGAACGCGTTTCCACTGCTCCAGAGTCCAATGGCGGCGAGCTTTACACCACTCCAGCCGACTCTTAGCATTGCGCATGGAGTTCTTAGGCTTGTGTGCGGCTGCTCGGCCATGGAAATCCATTTCATGAAACTCCCGACGAACAGTTATTTTGCTGATGTTGCTCCCAGAGGCAGTTTGGAACTCGGTAGTGAGTGTTGCAACCGAGGACAGACGATTTTTACGCGCTTCAGCACTCGACTGTCCCGTTCTGTAAGCTTACACTTCACAATAACGGCACTTACAGTTGACCAGGGCAGAAATTTGACGAACTGACCTGTCAACAACGGGTGTGGCTGAAATAGTCGAATTCACTAATTTAAAGGGGTGTCCACATACTTTTGTATATGTAGTGTACAATTTAAAATGATCAACTCAAGTCTTTGCATACATGATTTAATACCACCTTATTTTTGAATATCCCCCTCCTGCTAAATATATGGGGCATGATCATGCAAGTCTCTATCCGTAGTCACATGAACCCAATTTTTAGAACATTTCTTAGCATTAACGATTTTCAAAACCTGCAATGAGTTTCTAGCTAGATGGAGGGTATTGGCTTGCTCCCCACGACACCGTGAATGTCAGTGTTTGAAAATCACTTTTTAAAATGTTTTCACTTTTCATGACGTAATCGGGTAGAACCATTTTACTTTATATTTTGTTCTACAAAACATAGAAATGCGGTGTTGTCACATATTTATACACTGGTATGGTGCTGGAGATAATGAATATGAGGTTGAAAAGTGGTGGAGTTGCCCTCTAACTTGTCAGCTGCATTCATCCGCTAATACTTTTCAAGTATTCTCTTTTCCCCTTTCCTTTCTGACATCATTATTTTTAATGTGATCGATGCCAAATGTTGTGTGCAAGAGATCGGAGTGAGTCAAGCTGTTATAAGCGTTGGCACCACGCCAACAGCAGATTTCTTTTTGAATGTGCCTGTCTCTCTTCCCCCCGCAGAGTCCGACAGCATGCCAGGAGAGGGGGCAACACCAACTCCCAACAGTGAGTACATGGATGTGTATGCACACTAGGGTTGTGAACGTTTAAACAAAATGGAAGAGTTAATGTTAAGAAAAAATCCCTAACCGAAAAACTATGTCCGTCACTGTCCCCCACCACCACTACATTTTAATCACAGTGCAGTTATCACAAAACTACCACTAACGGGTCCTGATCGTCATCATCATAAATGGAAAAAAATTAAACAAGTAGGCCTACCCAATAAGCTTGGGCGGTATACCGTATACTGAGGTATTTGGAAATAGCCATGGGAAGTTTTTCAATATATTTTTATACTTGTAGCTACTTTTTAAGTTAATACCTACAGTCAACTTGTGCATACATTAGATATAAAGCAGATTGCGTTCTTCATTTCACCTGTCACATTATTTTACATTATGAAGCTTACCATAGTTCCCCAGAACAGTTGGGCCAGTCACGTGTTTGTTTGGAAATAGCACTATGGGAGAAAGCGGGAGCAGGTGTGTCCAGCTGTGTATTGTTTTTGTGTGTGTTTTTTATTTTTCTTCTTCAATAGAGTGATCAGGGACGTACAACTATAGCTTTCCTTCACAGAAAATACATTAGTGCAACACATTCGGCAGAAAATAGCATCATTTTCATCCGATGACAACAAATTGCAACGCTATTTGGCTGGCAGCCACACAAATGATCTTACAATGAAAAAGCAAGCTCTTTTTTGCAAAAATGATGGATGGCCATATTTCTAATGTTTATCATAGAAAGAATGTAGCCAGCTACATTTCCTAAAAGTGAATCTTGCATTTTACCGGAGAAAATTAGGCTGGCTACAACTACAAAAGTAGCTACACATCAGTCAGTGCTGTCTGCTGATAGAATGTGCATTTGTGCATTCTCATCTTAGTTGAGGAGTGCAACTGAAGCATGAATTTAGTCTGATACCGAGAATAAATTACAATAAGAAGCATTTTAAGTCTTCGTTTACAAAACGCAGCAAGATATTTTATTTGATTTTTTTGTGCCATTTAGCAGACGCTTTTATCCAAAGCGACTTAGTCATGGCATTCTTGTGCGTTTGATCTTTTTTTCCTGTGTGAAAAATGCAAAATTCTGCATTAACGCGACCCCTAAGTTTAACTTGGTAGTTAATAATCTAATTAAGTGGCTGAAATAATAATGTGATGGGGCATCATATTGTGTTAGCTTTCTGCTGTGTTTGAGAAGTCAAAGCCCTTTGGATGAGTTATTTGTACAGCTGCCTCTATCTATTTATTTTCCTCTCCGTTCTCGGCCCCTCTTCTCAGAGCAGGCAGGTCCGTTGCCTAGCACAGCGTTTCTCAAACATTTTGGGTTTTGCCCTTGCACTACACAGCTGATTTAAACAATCAACTAATCATCATTGATTATTTGAATCAGCTGTGTAGTGCTAAGGCAAAAACAAAAACGTACACCCCTTGGGGTCCCCAGGACCGAGTTTAGGAAACGCTGCCCTAGTGACTCCAGACTCCACACAGACATGGTGTGTAGCCTACACATGCTGCTCAGAGCCAGGACTGTTCTTCCTTCAGACAAGCATATGCACAATGTCTAGTTCACATTCGCTTGTAAATGTCAGAACTCACCAAAAATGACATTTGGTAGCTCCTTCCTATATATGTATAACTTTGAGCTGGATTAGCTGTCTTTGCTATTTGTTTATTTTCATTTGCGCTCGTTAGCATATTTAGTTAGCAGCCGCTTTTGAAATTCGCTCTTACTTGTGCTAATTTTGGTAGCATTCTGGTAACAGACGCCCAATGTTTTTTGCATCATTTGGCGCCCCCTTGTGTACGAAGACGGTAATACCGTATATCCCTGGAGAGAAGGACAGTATGACGATATGAAAATCTGGATACCGCCCAACCCTACTACCTAACGCAACAATTGCTGTAAGGTTGGTAAGAGGGGATATGCATCTTTAAAATTATTTGCCACGGATATAAGCACATCGTCATTAACAGTTGGGAAAAAAAGCGCTAATTACAGAAATTATTGTAGTTGAAATGCAGCCACTGTCAATGGCCTACTTGAGTTGCGAAGTAATTTGCTAAATGAAGGACTGCAAGCGTCATTTGTGCCGCGACTCACACTACTGAAACGGGTGCGTCTTTCTCATCAAAAACACTGTTCACCGTTTACTCCTGTTTCAACAGGGTGTTATTCCCTTTATAATGGGAGTTGAGACATACAGTTAACAGCATTAGAACGCTAAAATCCTTCCCTTTTTAACCAGTAGATACCCGCATTTGGCGCGTGTTTTATTTTGCCTCGTGTTTGATTTGTGAGCTTAAACTTAGTGGACAGGCTTTTGTTAAACATGAAACAAAGTATGTCCCTAGACTGATAAATCTGTCAGATTTGGCAAGGAATGTAGCGGTGGGATCGAAATTGAGTGAGAGACGCGTAACTGAGGGGAAAGAGAATTTAGGGAGAAGAGTTGTGATCACTTGGCTAGGTTTCTTTTTTGTTGTGATTCGCTAATGCACATAACAAATGGAAGGAACACTAGAGGCAACGTGAATTAACGGCTGGCTTTGGGACTAAATTTCATATGCACGTTCAGGCAGCCACAAAGCAGATTCCAGATTCTTAAGCCTACTGTATGACTGCGGTAGAACTTCATTGTCCCTTACACTTCAGCTCCACTATAAGCTTTGTGTTGCTATGCCATCAGTGTTGTCAATGTGACGTTCTACCTGATACACAGAGCATGCTGTTTTGAGAGTGGAGAGGAGCAGAGGGGAAGAGCATCTTTATTCTATTTTCCCCTACTGTACCATATTCATCGATTATGCGTAAGTACAATAGTACTAAATTATCCTCTAATTACACAAGCTGCTTTTTGTTTACATTGTAAAGCTAGCTAGTCAAAGTAGCTAGCTAGTAGTAGTCGCTACTTGACTTCATAAATCTTAGTAAAATAACCAGTGGTGTATCGTCGAGGCATAGCCGCGGGAAGCCACACAAATGATCTTACAATGAAAAAGCAAGCTCTTTTTTGCAAAAACGATGGATGGCCTCAGCACCCCCTGAAAAAAAAAACACATTTATTTATGCATATCGGGTCCAGGTGAAAAAGCACAAGGTCCATTTCGAAACAGGTCCATTTCGGAAGGCTTTTACTGTTTGCACCTTCATTCTCTGATTTTACACTTGATCTATATATAATGATGAGATGCTCATGTCTCCACCCTAACAATGGGAGTCATTGTCCCAAAGGCGGGAAGGCAGGGGACAAGCTTACGTCCAAAATAAGCCCATAGAAATGCATTGGGCTTGTTTTGGACAGATTTTGGCGAGAGTGAAACATCTTGCTTTGTCTCTTCCTCTCTGTTTACACACACACACACCAAGCCCCTGCCACTCACAATAACAAAGTTTAGACATCACTTCTTCCCCTCTGACAAGCGGTTTCAACTCGCTATTTGCATTTGAAGTTTGGTCCAACAGAATCGGTCATATAGACAAACACATTGAGACATTATTTTATTGTAATAGAGAAGTTAACCTTTCTAATGATACCCGTTTTATTTTGTCTCTACTCCTCAAATTGCGCGCAGAGCAGACACTACTAAAACGGGAGTATCAATTAACATTGATTCTGGAAAATGTATGCTCAGTTTGTCGCGTGCGCATTACGGTACCACGTACCGCTAGCAGCATTTTAGTAAAGGATTGTTATACTAGCTGTCTTGTCTGTGTTTTTATAAATGAGCAATAAGCATAAAACACAATTATATAAAGAGTTGACAACTCGTTCTCATTCTGAGAAATAAGGTAGCTAAGCCACTTGATTTCAACATCTGAACAAAGTGGACAGGCTAGCATGCTGTTCAAACAGTTGGAGACTGACAGAAGGGTGTGAAAATAGATCCAAGTTGACTAACTTGAAATATAAAGATTAGCTGGCTACGCACTAGTTTGTGCTTGAAAGATTGAGACCTGTGTTCATTTTCTATAATGCCTACTACAAAAAGTTTGTCATTAGTGAATGTGCATTATGCATGGTTCTGGTTAAATTTGTAACAAAAAGGTCATTTTCATAGACCGACTTGAAAGCTAGATCAGTGATTATTGCAAAAAAGCAGGTTAAACTACTGTATGTTGATAAAATAATTATATTACGAGTGGGTGTTGTGGTTGTGGAAGGCTTATATTTAGCCTAGGTATAATTTCAGAAGCCCTGAATTCAATAGAGTATTGCTGACTGTTTGAAATGCAGTGTATTTGACCTTTTAATTGTACAATAAAGCTTATTTAGAGAACATTTAAAATTGCCGGAGACCTCCTGATACAATATTATCATGATAACTAGCCGCTGATACGATATGTATTGTGATTCTATATGTATCACAATTTATCAGGTACAAGAGAGAGCCATAATAAAAGCAGGGACAAGACTGCCATAATAGAACGTTTTTAGTTTTGATCAGTCATGGAAATAAGTGCTGAAAGCATGTTGGCTTACCATTTAAAAAAAAAAGAAGATTGAGTCCAAGCTATAAGAGGAGAAATACAGATGTTTTGGCGCAGGTATAGCCAACTAGCGCTAGCTAATGTTAACTACCTGGCTTTTTTTTTTTGGAGATCGTTACTTTGAGTCAGACTTAATATAATGTCGTCAAAAATACTGCGATACTCAACTGTATTGACTCCATCCCTAGTAAGAGAATAGAGGTCAAATAAAAAATATAAATATATTATTCCTGTACAACATGGAATATGCCAACACTACACAAAAGCAAAGTTGATGGACCCATAACACAGCAAACCATCTACTGGTTTTTATACCTTATTGAGTGATATGAAACAAATCAGTGCTGTGTGCTAGGCAGTGACCAGCGGGTTGTGATGTCATTGAATGCCAGTGTGTGCCACAGACCAGACAATGCGGTCTCTGTGTGTCCGAATGCAGATAGCTTCCGCTACTCCTGTGACATCTGTGGGAAGAAGTACAAGTACTACAGCTGCTTCCAGGAGCACCGCGACCTGCACGCTGTGGACGGTAACTGACTACCTACCCTCTCTTCTCCTCTAATTTACTCTCCATTATTGCATTCCTACTAGGCCTTTCTATTATTTGTCTGTATGGATTCGAGTGGTAGCTTGTTCTGCCTCAGTGCCAACTTTGACATGACTTGCAGTTCCATCATAGTTGTGTGGTTTTGCTAGAATGAATTCCTGGGAAGTTATGGATGTGAAGTCCTGGTGAAAAATGAAGAGCTCAAAGTGCTTAGAACAGGAAACTAGGCAGTTAAATTGCTGATATGCATAACCGTGCATTTGCACATAACACAATGGGGGCGATGAGACAACGGAACCCCATTGAGGGAGGTGAGCTTGGACGAGGGACCGTGAACAGGGTGGGACCAAAGTTGGGGAAAGCTGAACTTTATGCAAATACTCTGCAATATTGCAACGCTATTGACCATTCAAAACTCACTGTACACTACATGACCAGAAGTATGTGGACACCTGCTCGTCGAACATCTCATTCCAAAATCATGGGCATTAATATGGAGTTGGTCCCCCCCTTTGCTGCTGTTCTGGGAAGGCTTTCCACTAGATGTTGCTGCAGGGACTTGCTTCCATTCAGCCACGAGCATTAGTGACGTTGGGCGATTAGACCTGGCTCGCCGTCGGCATTCCAATTCATCCCAAAGGTGTTCGATGGGGTGGAGGTCAGGGCTCTGTGGAGGCCAGTCAAGTTCTTCCACACAGATATCGACAAACCATTTCTGTATGGACCTTGCTTTGTATATCGGGGCATTGTCATGCTGAAACAGGAAAGGGCAATACCCAAACTGTTACCACAAAGTTAGAAGCACAGAATCGTCTAGAATGTCATTGTATGCTGTACCGTTACGATTTGGGACAATATTTCCCTTCAATGGAACTAAGGGGCCTTAACTGAACCATGAAAAACAGCCCCAGACCATTATTCCTCCTCCACCTAACTTTACAGTTGGCACTATGCATTGGGGCAGGTAGCGTTCTCCTGGCATCTGCCAAACCCAGATTTGACCGTCAGACTGCCAGATGGTGAAGCGTGATTCATCACTCCAGAGAACGCGTTTCCACTGCCCCAGAATCCCATGGCGGCGAGCTTTACACCACTCCAGCCGACACTTGGCATTGCGCATGATGATCTTAGGCTTGTGTGCGGCTGCTCGGCAATGGAAACCCATTTCATGAAGCTCCCGACGAACAGTTAGTTTGCTGACATTGCTTCCAGAGGCAGTTTGGAACTCTGTAGTGAGTGTTGCAACCGAGGACAGACTATTTTTACGCGCTTCAGCACTCGGCAGTCCCGTTCTGTGAGCTTGTGTGGCCTACCACTTCGCGGCTGAGCCGTCGTTGCTCCTAGACGTTTCCACTTCACAAGTTGACTGGGGCAGCTCTAGCAGGGCAGAAATCTGACTAACTGACTTGTTGGAAAGGTGGCATCCTATGACTGCCACGTTGAAATTTACTGAGCTCTTCAGTAAGGCCATTATACTGCCAATGTTTGTCTATGTAGATTGCATGGCTGTGTGCTCGATTTATATACCTGTCAGCAACGGGTGTGGCTGAAAAAGCTGAATCCACTAATTTGAAGGGGTTCCAGGCCCTACTGGATTGGCTGTTGATACCTAGCCTGCTTGCTAGCACCCACATGAGGGCGACGCTAACGTGGCTATCCAAATTATTATAGTGTTATGTGTAAGAGTAAGTATCATTGTAGCCCTGAAAACAGAGATTTTATTGAAACTTCACTTCCACTATCATGGTTACTGCTGCTTTAAATAAAGTAACCTGTGTGAATTAACTTGACCTCTTCCTTTCCATCTCCATCTGTCCATGTATGTTGTATGTTTCTGTCACCCCCCCTTTCACCCCAGACCCATACGAGCAGGTCGTTCTAGGACCTGTGGAAGACCTCAAGGAGGAGGAACCAGTGGAACCCTTCCAGAAAATAGGACCAAGTAAGGCAGCACTGCATGCTGGTCTACTGTTACTTGGCAGAGTAGGATTTGCGATTGGGCACGTCGTACTGTGATGTGATATATATATATATATATCTATATATATATATAATAATATATATATATATATATATTACACACACACACAAAAGTGGGGAGAACACGTCTTTGATACACTGCAGTTTTGCAGTGTTTCCTACTTACAACAGCATTAGAGTTCTGTATTTTTCTCATTATCATCAACTGGAGAGACGGAAATTCTAAAACAAAAATCCGAAAATCACATTGTAATGATTTCTGGCTCTCACAGACCTGTAACTTCTTCTTTAAGGGGCTCCTCTGTCCTCCACTCGTTACCTGTATTAATGGCACCTGTTTGAACTTGTTATCAGTATAAAAGACACCTGTCCACAACCTCAAACAGTCACACTCCAAACTCCACTATGGCCAAGACCAAAGAGCTGTCAAAGGACACCAGAAACAAAATTGTAGACCTGCACCAGGCTGGGAAGACTGAATCTGCAATAGGTAAGCAGCTTGGTTTGAAGAAAACAACTGTGGGAGCAATTATTAGGAAATGGAAGACATACAAGACCACTGATAATCTCCCTCGATGTGGGGCTCCACGCAAGATCTCACCCCGTGGGGTCAAAATGATCACAAGAACGGTGAGCAAAAATCCCAGAACCACATGGGGGGACCTAGTGAATGACCTGCAGAGAGCTGGGACCAAAGTAACAAAGCCTACCATCAGTAACACACTACACCGCCAGGGACTGAAATCCTGCAGTGCCAGACGTGTCCTCCTGCTTAAGCCAGTACATGTCCAGGCCCGTCTGAAGTTTGCTAGAGTGCATTTGGATGATCCAGAAGAGGATTGGGAGAATGTTATATGGTCAGATGAAACCAAAATATAACTTTTTGGTTAAAAACTCAACTCGTCGTGTTTGGAGGACAAAGAATGCTGAGTTGCATCCAAAGAGCACCATACCTACTGTGAAGCATGGGGGTGGAAACATCATGCTTTGGGGCTGTTTTCCTGCAAAGGGACCAGGACGACTGATCCGTGTAAAGGAAAGAATGAATGGGGCCATGTATCGTGAGATTTTGAGTGAAAACCTCCTTCCATCAGCAAGGGCATTGAAGATGAAACGTGGCTGGGTCTTTCAGCATGACAATGATCCCAAACACACCGCCCGGGCAACGAAGGAGTGGCTTCGTAAGAAGCATTTCAAGGTCCTGGAGTGGCCTAGCCAGTCTCCAGATCTCAACCCCATAGAAAATCTTTGGAGGGAGTTGAAAGTCCGTGTTGCCCAGCGACAGCCCCAAAACATCACTGCACTAGAGGAGATCTGCATGGAGGAATGGGCCAAAATACCAGCAACAGTGTGTGAAAACCTTGTGAAGACTTACAGAAAACGTTTGACCTGTGTCATTGCCATCAAAGGGTATATAACAAAGTATTGAGAAACTTTTGTTATTGACCAAATACTTATTTTCCACCATAATTTGGAAATAAATTCATGAAGAATCCTACAATGTGATTTTCTGGATTTTTTTTCTCATTTTGGTCTGTCATAGTTGACGTGTACCTATGATGAAAATTACAGGCCTCTCTCATCTTTTAAGTGGGAGAACTTGCACAATTGGTGGCTGACTAAATACTTTGTTTCCCCACTGTGTATATGTATATGTATATATATATATAGATATATATATATATATATATATATATGATAATAATATAATGATAATAATACAACATACATACAACAAGACATACATACATGACATAATATCACACACACACACAGTGGGGAGAACACGTATTTGATACACTGCAGATTTTGCAGGTTTTCCTACTTACAAAGCATGTAGAGTTCTGTAATTTTTATCATCAACTGTGAGAGACGGAATCTAAAACAAAAATCCAGAAAATCACATTGTATGATTTTTAAGTAATTAATTTGCATTTTATTGCATGACATACGTATTTGATCACCTACCAACCAGTAAGAATTCCGGCTCTCACAGACCTGTTAGTTTTTCTTTAAGAAGCCCTCCTGTTCTCCACTCATTACCTGTATTAACTGCACCTGTTTGAACTCGTTACCTGTATAAAAGACACCTGTCCACACACTCAATCAAACAGACTCCAACCTCTCCACAATGGCCAAGACCAGAGAGCTGTGTAAGGACATCAGGGATACAATTGTAGACCTGCACAAGGCTGGAATGGGCTACAGGACAATAGGCAAGCAGCTTGGTGAGAAGGCAACAACTGTTGGCGCAATTATTAGAAAATGGAAGAAGTTCAAGATGACTGTCAATCACCCTCGGTCAGGGGCTCCATGCAAGATCTCACCTTGTGGGGCATCAATGATCATGAGGAAGGTGAGGGATCAGCCCAGAACTACACGGCAGGACCTGGTCAATGACCTGAAGAGAGCTGGGACCACTGTCTCAAAGAAAACCATTAGCAACACACTACGCCGTCATGGATTAAAATCCTGCAGCGCACGCAAGGTCCCCCTGCTCAAGCCAGCGCATGTCCAGGCCCGTCTGACGTTTGCCAATGACCATCTGGATGATCCAGAGGAGGAATGGGAGAAGGTCATGTGGTCTGATGAGACAAAAATAGAGCTTTTTGGTCTAAACTCCACTCGCCGTGTTTGGAGGAAGAAGAAGGATGAGTACAACCCCAAGAACACCATCCCAACCGTGAGGCATGGAGGTGGAAACATCATTCTTTGGGGATGCTTTTCTGCAAAGGGGACAGGACGACTGCACCGTATTGAGGGGAGGATGGATTGGGCCATGTGTTGCGAGTTCTTGGCCAACAACCTCCTTCCCTCAGTAAGAGCATTGAAGATGGGTCGTGGCTGGGTCTTCCAGCATGACAACGACCCGAAACACACAGCCAGGGCAACTAAGGAGTGGCTCCGTAAGAAGCATCTCAAGGTCCTGGAGTGGCCTAGCCAGTCTCCAGACCTGAACCCAATAGAAAATCTTTGGAGGGAGCTGAAAGTCCGTATTGCCCAGCGACAGCCCCAAAACCTGAAGGATCTGGAGAAGGTATGGAGGAGTGGGCCAAAATCCCTGCTGCAGTGTGTGCAAACCTGGTCAAGACCTACAGGAAACGTATGATCTCTGTAATTGCAAACAATGGTTTCTGTACCAAATATTAAGTTCTGCTTTTTTGATGTATCAAATACTTATGTCATGCAATAAAATGCAAATTAATTACTTAAAAATCATACAATGTGATTTTCTGGATTTTTGTTTTAGATTCCGTCTCTCACAGTTGAAGTGTACCTATGATTACAGTTCTCTACATGCTTTGTAAGTAGGAAACACTGCTGATTTAGCAGGTTATCAAATACTTGTTCTCCCCACTGTATATACACAGTACCAGTCAAATGTTTGGACACCTACACCTTCCAGGGTTTTTCTTTATTTTTACTATTTTCTACATTGTAGAATAATAGTGAAGACATCAAAACTATGAAATAACACATGGAATCATGTAGTAACCAATAAAGTGTTAAACAAATCCAAAAATATTTTATTTCAGATTCTTCAAAGTAGCCATTCTTTGCCTTGATGACAGCTTTGCACAGTCTTGGCATTCGCTTTTCCTTCACTCTGTGGTCCCAAACCATCTCAATTGGGTTGAGGTCGGGTGATTGTGGAGGCCAGGTCATCTGATGCAGCACTCAATCACTCTTCTTCTTGGTCAAATAGCCCTTACACAGCCTGGAGGTGTGTTTTGGGTCATTGTCCTGTTGAAAAACAAATGATAGTCCCACTAAGTGCAAACCAGATGGGATGGTGTATCGCTGCAGAATGCTGTGGTAGCCATGCTGGTTAAGTGTGCCTTGAATTCTAAATAAATCACTGACCGTGTTACCAGCAAAGCACCATCACACCACCACCTCCATGCTTCACGGTGGAAACCACACATGCGGGGATCATCCGTTCACCTACTCTGCATCTCACAAAGACACGGCGGTTGGAACCAAAAATCTCAAATTTGGACAAAAAAAATCTCCAATGTCCATTGCTGGTGTTTCTTGGCCCAAGCAAGTCTCTTCTTATTGGTGTCCGTTAGTAGTTGTTTCGTTGCAGCAATTTAACCATGAAGGCCTGCTTCACGCAGTCTCCTCTGAACAGTTAATGTTGATGTGTCTGTTACTTGAACTCTGTGAAGCATTTATTTGGGCTGCAATTTCTGAGGCTGGTAACTCTAATGAACTTCTCCTCTGCATCAGAGATAACTCGGGTCTTCCTTTCCTCATGAGAGCCAGTTTCATCATAGCGCTTGATGATTTTTGCAACTGCACTTGAAGAAACTTTCAAAGTTCTTGAATTTTTCCAGATTGACTGACCTTCATGTCTTAAAGTAATGATGGACTGTCATTTCTCTTTGCTTATTTGAACTGTTCTTGCCATAATATGGACTTGGTCTTTTACCAAATAAGGCTATCTTCTGTATACCACTAAGACCTTGTCACAACACAACTGATTGGCGCAAACAAATTAACTTTTAACAAGGCACACTTGTTCATTGAAATGCATTCCAGGTGACTACCTCATGAAGCTGGTTGAGAGAATGCCAAGAGTGCAAAGCTGTCATCAAGGCAAAGGGTGGCTATTTGAAGAATCTCAAATATAAAATATATTTTGATTTGTTTAACACTCTCTTGGTTACTACATGATTCCATATGTGTGTTATTTCATAGTTTTGATGTCTTCACTATTATTATACAATGTAGAGAATAGTACACATAAAGAAAAACCTTGAATGAGTAGGTGTCCAAACTTTTGACTGGTACTATATATATATATATATATATATATATATATATATATATATATATTTTTTTTTTTTCAGTGGTTGATTTTGTATCTGAAGTCCTACTTTTGCAGTTTGTTAAGGCAATGTTATTAGTTTTGTCCTCATTTAGCTCTTTACCTCATACATGCAATGTATTTTGCTCTCGGGATAGGTATTATTTGTACATTATATCCTTTATGAGAGAAATAAAATATGATTTAGATTTGGGGAATAATTCACTCAATGTCCCCACTACTGAAAATTAAGGAAACCATTTCAGTGAACCACCAAGGATGCTACTCTTATCATTACAGAAGGAGATGTTATATATTTAGCGCATGCAGATAATGTGATTATTTTAGTTAACTTGTTTTTTTTCTAAAAAAATAATTCTCACAGAAACGGGGAGCTATGAGTGTGAGTTCTGTGGGAAGCAGTATAAGTACTTCAACCCATACCAGGAGCATGTGGCTCTTCACCAACCAATGAGTAAGTAATCTCACAGGTCTACAGAAGGGACTTAGTCGTCTGTTGTAGTCCATAACCTCCCTCTCTTACCTCCCAAACTCACCTGGGTCATCAAAACACCTGTGTTATCATCAATTCAGTTAAAGTAGCTTGATAATTTACCACTTATTTATATGATGATACTGACAGAACTGTCTTCCCACAGATTTCTCCTTTGATAATATGAAGTCGCCTCGATCCCGTGGAAGTGTGGATGGAAACATGGACGTCAGCAAATACAGTGCCACTAAATTAGAAACAGGTATGGAGAACTGACCTGGGATCTGTGCTTAAGCAGCTCTCGCACTGTCTCACAACCTGAGATTCATTCGCAATCACTGAGCTTGAACGTATACAATACACTGTATACCACTTAAAGATGTCAACTTTTAGACCATCAAATGGACCTGCAAATTTACCCAGATCGTGGGTAGGTTCAATCACACCCCACAAACCGTTACCTGTAACATTTGTGTAACATCATTTGACATCACTGTAAACCATGGATGGGCATCTGGCGGCCCGCAGATTCAACCACAAAGACCAGGGAGGTTTTCCAATGCCTCGCAAAGAATGGCACCTATTGGTAGCTGAGTAAAAAAACAAAAAAAACAGACATTCAATATTTATTTGAGCATGGTGAAGTTATTAATTACACTTTGGATGGTGTATCTATAGAAATACGTGTTATGTCCTGAATAGAAAGTGTTATGTTTGGGGCAAACACATCACTGAGTACCAATCTTCATATTTTCAAGCATGGTGGTGGCTGCATCATGTTATGGGTATGCTTGTCATCGGCAAGGGAGTTTTTTTAGGATACAAATAAACTGAATACAGCTAAGCACAGGCAAAATCCTAGAGGAAAACCTGGTTCAGTCTGCTTTCCAACAGACACTGGATGACAAATTCACCTTTCAGCAGGACAATAACCTAAAACAGTTTTGCTTACCAAGAGTTGCTTACCAAGATGACATTGAATGTTCCTGAGTGGCCTAGTTACAGTTCTGACTTAAATCGTCTTAATCTATGACAAGACTTGAAAATGGCTGTCTAGCAATGATCAACTTAAATAATTATTTTAAAGAATAATGTGCAAATATTGTACAATCCAGGTGTGCAAACCTCTTAGAGACTTACTCAGAAATACTCACAGCTGTAATCGCTGCCAAAGGTGATTCTAACATGTGTTGACTCGGTGGGGTTGAATATTTATAATTAGAGTATTTTGTGTAGATAACTGACAAAACAGTCGAATTAGCATAATAAAAAAATCGGGCAGTTTTAAGCTAGATGTTTTTTTGCATTGGATGTGTCTCAATCCACCGCTTCCGCGATGTTGCACTTCCGCATCTGCGGTGAAAGGTGACAGAGCTAGAGCGGTGTTTGTCAGACCATGAGACATCCCAGAAATCGGTCTGTAGCGGCTGAACGGTTATGACCCCTCAATGGAAAGATGAGACTCTCACGAACACAATGGTGTTCTCCGTTTTGCTCTACGACCCCCACAAGTGTTTTGGGACTCTACTGAAGTCGGTACAGCCGATCTGCCAACTTCTGTCTGGAGCGTCATAACAGTTTGGGCTACACAATAATATATGACCCCTCTGTGGAAAGGTGAGACTCTCATGAACATGTCGTCTGAAGGTCCCCCGGTACCAGTTGAGAAAATCCTGATCTTTGTTATTTCTCTGATATAGGACAGACACTTCAGAACAAACTTCCTTTACATTTTTTTGTACTATCTGTTCCATGTAGTAAATGTTTTGTGTGGGCTAATAGCATTTTATTTATATATATATATATATATATATTTTTTTTTTTTTTGGGATACTTCAAGGGTTCTTAAAATTCAAGATCAAATGGCTAAATGATCCTTGGTATGACCTTAAAACAATTCCATATAGCTTAGTAGAACCTCCCCCTTTCTCCCGGTTTAGACATGGTTTAGTCTGTACAGGGTTAAATCCATTTTAATCCCACCTTGTAACACAACAAAATGTGGAAAAAGTCAAGGGTTGTGAATACTTTCTGAAGGCACTGTATCTAAACTTGTAGTAATCGTGGTCGAATTACCGACCTGGGGGCCCACATTGATTTTGTTAGCCACTCTCACTCACTGTGATGTCATATTTCGCTTTGCCCCATGGCAAAATGAGTAGAATTGCATGAAATGAGTTACAAAATTGCAAAGTCTTCTCTCCGCCCCATGGCAAAATGTGTAGAATGGCAGCGAAATTGCTTTAAACTAACTGCAACATTTTCAAACACAACACATACATTATTTTCTCCACTGTCAAGAGGGGGGCCGCTAAAATGTTTTGCTCGAAAGGTGGGTGGGTGCATTGCAATCCCTGCGAGCCACTGCAGCCCCTCATGAGTAGTTCAGATTTTTTGTGGCCTCCACCCCCATCAAAGTTGCCCATTCCTGCTGTAAACCAAGGCTACAATCTCCCGCCAAAGATGATTTGGCTCTACTTTGTCTGCTGTGATCCGAAACGCTGCCTCGCTCCTCTTATCTATCATATCTCTAACCTGATCAGTTCCTGTCTCTCTCCACTGAGCAGTTTGTCTATGGAGAGCTATTTAAAGCTTGGCAGTCTCCCCTAGCACAGAAATATGGGTCAAAAGAAATAGTGGAGAGGAGTACTGGGACCCATATTCAAATGCTATGGGTGAATATTCATTTAAAAAATTTGTGCCGAAAAGGCAATGGATCATCCCAAGGACATGATAGAATTCAATACGCAGAGTACCTATATATATATCGTTCCGCTATGGATTAGTGTTGTGTAGGTTTCGGAAATCATCTATCCACCTGCTTTTCACCTTTTCAGTGGGTCTGCACTAATAGGTATTTATTTTGTGTATGTGCACTAACTGTTTCTACGCACTAAGTAAGAAACCTTTTGGGAGCGTGACATGGTTTTCCATTTTTGTCTTGTCAGTTCAAACATTGTTTATCTTTCACAGACAGTCCCTTTAGTCGGAAAATGGAGAGCAAAATCCAGTCCAGCCTGGTGGACACCAACAGTTCCCAGAACTCAAGCGGTGAGCACTGAGGCTCTTCTCATAAGCTGTGTGCCTATGTGTTTTATGAATGTCTCTCTGCACAGTGAAATGTATTTTCATCTGGGCAACTCTCCCAATATATCAGCTGTGAATGTCAATTAACAGGGAGATGTGTTCTTACTGAGACTTGGGTAGAACACTGCGGTAGATGGAGAGTGAATCAGACAGGAGTGTGAGTGTTGGTGGTTTAGTGTCCAAGCATATATCCACGTTCAAATCGAGGCCATAGTCTGATTCTCTACCCTTCTCCCTGAAGTACGCACTAATTTACTCCCCCTTGTGGATTAAAAAATAATGGATTGTCTATGAAATATAGGGAAACATTCTCTAGCCAATGCTTACATAAATCGAATGCTTTTAACTCCACAAGGGGAAGAGAGCATGTGCACACTGAAATGGGTGAAGAGTAGGGAATCGCATCTAAAAACCAATGCAGTGTCTGTGATGTCACTTTCTCACGCTCTCCCTAAGGTACTCCAAGCCCCCTGGTGGCCGGTTCGTTCCCTGCATCACAGAGTGAGTCTACTTCTCTCTCTCTCTCTCTGCCTGCATGCTTGAAAACACAAACAAATGGGACCATTTCACCCTCTCCATGTTGTTTATTTTGACCATAATGAGATGCAGCTACTGCCACTGATATTTTCCTTTCACTTGTCATTTCTTATCAGTCTCCCTGTTCATTTGGGCTTGTCACACTTGCTCTTCCATTTAGTCAGTGTTTGTGACCCTGTAGTAGTTGGTTTGGATTTGGGCAGGTTACTCCATGGTGAATTGGAAGAGACTAGGTGTGGCATAACTGTTTTTTCGTGTTGTTGTGGCAGCAGATGAGAATATTTGCTGACTCATACTTTACTTCAGCTGGGCATAATGCTTATGTGCTCTTCAACAATAACCTGTTACTGTTGACAACAAGCCAGGTGGGAAAATGTCAAATACAATGTATTCAAGCAATCAATCAAATTATCTTTATTTATTTACATCTTTTTGCAAATTCATTAGTCACAAAGGGCTTCACAACAATCCGGGCCTACAGCCCCCAAAACCCCAAAGACAAGGCGACAGTGGCAGAGACAAAGTCTCTAGGTAGGAAGACTCAATCACTCTTAAATGGCATAGATAGATAATACAAGAAAATATTTCATTAAGTAGGTTTAACATGTGTTTTATATGTGTTAAAATTAAACATCTTGTTACAGTGGCCTAGATCTTGCACCACTCAGGGGATAGACTGGGCAGGTCCACAGTGGATGTGCTCTTGTTACAATACGGGAACCCTTTTTTCTGGGCCTTGTGTTTCTAGAACCCTACACATGTGGCGCCTGTGGCATCCCGTTCCAGTTCTACAACAACCTGCTGGAGCACATGCAGTCCCACGCTGGTGAGTTAACTGCACCTAGAGGGATATACATACAGCAACAGACTGGATGTACCCCCAAAGTGTAACACTAGCAGTCAAATGGGTGGGGGAGCTTTCAGCAGAAGTTTAAATGTACGGTTGTAATGGCGGAATACTTCAGATACTGTCAATTGTATTTCCAACTACTGGAATTGTTTATTCCTTTGCACAAAGCTCAGCCAAATTTGGTGGCCGAAATAGCTGCTGTACATTGCACTCCAAGCTAAAACATACAAACTCCTAGGAGAGAGGAAGAAGGGATATTTTCATCTAACACTTTGTTTTTTTGCATTTTCTAATTTCATTTTTGCATATTAAATTGAGTATGCTCTTTGTGTTACAACCATTTCACCCCTGTTGTTTTATCATGTGTAGCCACTCTATTAGAGGCTACCTGTTTGCTAGTGGTTGTTTCCTAACCCTATGTAACTATCTGTTAACTCTCGAGCTAGTAGACAATAGCCAACCCTCTGGTTATTAGCTTTTAGCTAAACCCACTGTAGCGCGTTGCTAGCTGTTCCATTAACAATTAGTCATTAGCTAACCCTTTAGCCTCTGCTTTAGCTATTAACCTTTAGCTATCCCCATTTTGTTATTAGCAATTAACTAACTTGTAGCTAGTAGCTGTTGACCTTCTCTATCACAGAATGCTAACCCTGTATCTCTGTTTCCCCCCCAGCGGATAATGAGAACCACACCAAAGGGGAGTCTCCAAAGACATCACCGGGCCCAGCCTCACAGGACCAGCTGTGGAGGTCCCCTCAGCCCCAGCCCCAGCCCCAGCATCAGGCCCAAGCTCAAATAGTTCAAGTCCAGATACGGGCTCAGCCCCAGCCTACACAGAGAAACCACTACACCAACCGTGAGTAGGCTACTATTAATCATCACTGTCACTGAATAGATATGGCCACACTGCCTATGAATACACACACTCAAACTCGTTCTCCTCTCTCTACCTCTCTTTCCCATATATTCCCTGTTTTTCCTCTTTCTCCTTCCATCTCTTCTCACTCTCTCCTCTCTCTCACTGCCTCTCTCTATCCACAGAGAACAGTGGTGGACTACCGGAGAAGGAGAGGCAGCAGGTGGCCGAACGTCTCCTGAGGGTGATGTGTACAGACCTGGGTGTGCTCAACATGCTCAATAGCAAGGACTTCCTGAAGCTGGCCCAGACTCTGGTGGACACGGGCGCCCGCCATGGTGCCTACTCCACCCGCGAAGCCCTGGGCAACATGAGCTCGCTGGCCCTGCGTCAGCTTCCCCGCATGTACAACCAGATCAAGGTGAAGGTGACCTGCGCCCTGGGCTCAAACTCCTCACTGGGCATTGCCGTCACCTGCCACTCCCAGACAGTGGGGCCTGACGCCTGCCTAGTGCTGACAGCCTACCAGGTGGAGGGGTCCAGGCTCAAGCGCTACGTTCTAGGCGTCAAGGAGGCAGACCTGAGGGAGGGACCCGAGCAGGTGCACCAGTGGACCCAGAACGTGCTGTCGGAGTTCGTCATGTCGGACATCCGCACAGTATATGTGACTGAGCCGAGGGTGTCTGCGGTGGGGGTGGGGGGCTCGCCGCTGGCTGGAGGCGGGCGGGGGAGGGTGTGTCTGCGGTGCGCCGGGTGCTCGCTGGGTGTAGTGGTCCAGGCAGTGCTGGGGAAGCGCAGCCTGCAGGCGCGGGGGCTCCACGAATTGACTGAGCTGCTGGCTGCCTGCCGCGACATTGCTGCCTCCACCAGCCTCTCGTTGCGCGACGACTCCACCAGCGCCGCCATGGACGAGGGCACGTCTAACCCCTCCGCTCCCCCCAGGCCTAGCCACACCCCTCCCTGTTGGGACCGCACGGCTGAGGCCCTGCTTCAGGTGCACGCCCACTTTGAGCAGATCTGTGAGGCATATGGGAGGAGCAAGGCCACAGCTTCCACGCTGCAGGGCCTCAACAAACACCTGCTGGGGACGCTGGCCTGCCTGCTGGCCCCCCTGCGCCTGGCCGCCCTGGAGCTCAGCAACCAGAGGAGGCCCACCCTGCAGCAGGTGCTACCTGTCTACCTGCGCCTGGAGAAACTGTTCACCTCCAAGGCTGGGGAGGTGGGGACCGCCAGCAAGCTCTGCCACTACTTCCTGGAAGCCCTGAAGGAGAACTTTAAGGTGGAGAAAGCCCACCAGGTAGCCATGGTCCTGGATCCTCAGCTGAAGCTGCGTCCCGTCCCAGCCTACCAGCATGAGGAGATCATCGCCCGTGCCTGCGAGATGGCCACAGACCCCCGCGACGGGGGGCAAGCCACCGGCGGGGGGTCCGGAGTTGAGGACATGGATGGACCCTCAACACCCAAACGGCTTCGCGTGGACGTCCCCGGTGGTGGAGTGAACGCCAGAGGGGTAGTAGCCGTGTCGTCGGAGGCGTCGTCAGATGAAAGCCAGACCCAGGTGAGACAGGAGGTGTTCCAGTATCTGGCTGAACCGCTCCTCCAGGGCACCACCCCAGACCTCTTCCACTACTGGAGCACCACGGTGGGCGACCGCTTCCCCAGACTGGCACGCCTAGCACTGTGGCTGCTGGCCGTGCCCGCCGTGGGCGTCCGCAGCGAGTGTGTGAGCGTGTGTGAGCAGAGCCTGGCCATGAAGAGGAGGCAGCAGGTCACCGCCGAGGAGATGAACAAACTTGTCTTCCTGCGCTCCAACATGGCCTGAACATTACGGTCCGACCACCAACGCTGACCTAACCACGACCTTTCCACCAATGACTACACAGGCTATCTACAGAGGGATAGGGGAGCCCAGAGGGGCCATACTCGTGAACGTTTGCTTAGACCCAAGGTTTATACCTGTGGTCTAAAATGGCTAGCTGCTAGCGTTTCTCATAGGCCAACCTGGCACAATTAGCCATGATGCTGAGGACGACCAGCTGAGCACGTAATTAAATCCTGTAACAGATTCTGTATCAGCCAATTAAAATAATTGACGTAGTTGGACGTGATCCAACACATTTTCACGAAAGCGTCCTTACCAGAAGTCCACTGGCACGTTCTGATAATCAAAGTAACTAGCTAGTTTACAGTGTAGAACGTCTAGTTCCTGACAATTGTCACAACTTGCAGCGTAGGTTCGAGTCCCCCGTGTCATGTTTTTATTTTATTTTATCAAACACCCGGACTGGTTGGATACTGTTCAAGGAGGCGAGGAATAGGGGGTCTTCTCAAGATGCTGATCTGGTTAGTGCCAAATGCAACAACAAATAATTATCAGCGGTTCAATGGCTTAAAATTCATAGGATAAATGACAAGGATGGTAAAGGTGTTGCATATGGTGCTTGCAAGTAACCTCTGTTATTCGTTGGGCCTTAAAGATCTCTCTCTGTCTTTCGCTGATTCACTTCTGACCTAGTCTCGTCCACCAGCCGGCTCTGCCTCTGTCGAACAGTCTGGTTTCACAGCGCCTCAGAACGAGACTTGGCCGGAAGTCTATGGCAGGAGCAGATGAAACAACCACTGGTTTTAATTGGCTGGTCTCTCAGTCCATCACCATCTAGCATAACCTTTAGAACCTCCCCCCTACATTGCGCGAGCAGCGCAACTGATTTAAACAAGGAAGTGAGTTCTGAAAGTATGCATCTTAGAAATAGTTTTCACATATAAACGTTATATGCTGAACTCAGAATCAACTGGGCTTCCCAAAATTAATATGATCAATGTGATAGAACATTTATTTTGATTGGAGATTTAGGACATTTTTCAAAGTCCCATGTAATACAGCTGTAGCGGCTCACTCTACATCGACATATTATTCATTTAGCAGACACTCTTATCCAGAGCGACTTACAGTACTGGGTGTATACATTTTCATACTTTTTTTCATGCTGGTCCTACGTGGGAATCAAACCCCCAGTCCTGGCATTGCAAGCGCCATGCTCTACCAACCGAGCTACACAAGACCACAGGACCTCTCCCGCCTTGATTTTTAACCGCACACTTTTCAAGTCCCACTTTGTTGCACTGTGTTACCAGGCGAGGTTACTTCTGTCCCTATACGTCATAGTCAACTTCATGCCTTTTACATTGTTATCAAATTGCCTTTTCACCATTTCTTCCATGGCGTGTAGTTGTCTGACTATAGTAACTATTTGAAGGACTAAACTAGGTATACATTAGACAACGATACAAATCTTTACATCGTTGGCGCACTCACATTATCTGAATTGACTGCATAATCTTGTCACCCTGACCGGTGTGCTCACATTACACCAGTTTGCTCACATTGCGACCTGTCTAGACCCCTCCCTGTCCTGCTATTTCCAGATGTGTCATGGCCCACCTCCTACTCTGTTGCTGTAGCCGAGCAACGGAGGACAAGTTGCAAGTCACATCGTAGCACCCCCCTCACTACACAAGACACGACTGAAAATTTCTGGCAGAAAAATTATCAGGACCTAAAATGTGGATCGGCAGAGCGCAAAACCCATAATCTCACTTCTTTCACCCAATCACATTATGTGAAGTACGACGTCTTGGTCAGAGCCTACGACATCACGATTTACCTTCGATCGCAGAAAATTTGTAGTGGATCCCAAATCGTGGCAAAATCGCAGTTTATAATCGTGTAATGTATGGCCAGCTTAAGGCGAGTGTGCGCTCCAGTGGTTGTGTAGGGCCTGGGCTCAGATCCATTCTGGACAATGGTGCGATTAGACTCCACTGTGTTACTGAGTAACTATACTGAATGACTTGACGGTAGGGGTGGATGTGTTTTGGAACTCGTTGGCCTGATTGCCCCAGGACTGTTAGTGGCATCTTTCAACTTTTTCTATGTGAGATGGTGTCTTTGAGTCTGGTCCTCCCATTGTCTTTAGCCATGTTGTTTTTAAAGACAGTCTTTCACTACACCAAACATCACTTGTCTTTATGTACTATGTTTGTCAGTTTCTCATATTTATTAGTCTTTCTTAGACTTCATTTGTCGTTTGTACTTTTTACATCAAAGATAGACCCATGTGTTAATTTATCCAAAAGCAAGTAGTCCAAAGAAACTTACTGGTGTGGCTGTTATGGTTTCATGCTTTTAATTAATGCACTGGATTTGTTTGTATGATTTCGATTGAAGGATTAAATGTTTTGGCAATGTATGTTCATCCTTCCCCGCACTTGAGTTTTGTCTGTCCTCCATTCAGTGACACAAGTTCCACTTTCTAATTTAGGAGTTAAGTGTGTGAAATCTTTGTTGCCTTTGTACAAACTTGCACAACGTAGTTGGAATGTGCATAATGTCTCAAACGGCTTGACCAATACTATATTGGAAGTGAGTGTCACACACCGAGGTACATCTTGATAACATTCCCATTCAGTATAGATAGTTCAGACTTAACTTTCCTCTGTCCAAAGCAATGGTGTGCTTTTTTACCTCAAGTTCTATGACTGAAGGACATACAGTAAAGGCTCTGGTCTGTCCGACATGATGATTTTGGATCTGTCCAATATGATAAAATAGTAAGTGTAGCATATAGATAATGGAACTGAAATTGATGTTTTAGTTTTTAAGTGTTCTTTTTTAGAGCAGCTGTAGTGAAGGGATTTTACCTGTAGATCTTAAATTAGGATTTCAAGCAGAAAATGATCCTGGACATGCAGTCAGTCGTTGATGTGGCTATCTCCAATACTACTACTACTACTATTGCCTCATATACTTTCTTTGGTAAGATTAGAATTATTACAAGATATGCATGTAATCAATATTAGAGTACTGATCTATTCTATCATATAAGCCAGTGTGTTTCTTCTAAGACGGAACAGTTTCAGGGGGTTAGAAGTTGCTCATAGGCACAGATCTAAAGATCTGCTTAACCTCCCCAAGTCCTAGCTTTAAACATTAGGGGCAAAGGCACAAAACTGACTTTAGCTCAGAGTCTAAGGGCAACTTCGTTGTACTCCTTTCAGGGGTGGCAGTATGTAAATACAAGATAACTGCTGTTTTATTCCACTAGAGGGAGCAAGTGTTGCAGAAATGGGTAGCACCGTTGATAACACCATACCTCTTTTTATAAACTAGCATTTCAAAGGTTTTGATACACACAACTCAAGCTAAATACTGTTATAGAGAACTACATTCAAAAAATAAAATAATATTGCTGCTAACTTATGACTTCGCAGAAACACAGGTCTCGTTCTTTTTCCAGTGGGTGTGTTGAAAGAAGATGCTAATGTTAACTGTAAATACAAGATGGCTAACATGAATACTCTTTCCCTCTCGTTCAGAATTTGACTATTCTCAATTCTAACAGAGCATTAATGTTGTGTTTATCTTATTTTATGGAGAATTGTCATTCTTTGTAATTTTTATACTCTGCTGGGCTGCAAAAAATTGATTTCATGTTGCTTATTTTGATTCCATAATTTGTCTTTTTATCACGCTTTGGCAGATCGTTTTTTGGATTTGAGTTGTCTTATCGGTAGGCCTAATTTATACTTTTGTAGTGACACTATTTTTATACTACTGATAGGATCAAGAGTCTTTTGTCAGATGTGACAGCGCTGTACAATGTTTTGAAATACATTACCCACTGTAGTATGTGCTGTGTGAATAAACTGGCTGAAATGAACATCATCAGCCTCTGGCTGTGCTCTTATGTGCAGTGTCCATGCATTGAGTGGAGTGTGTGTAAGACAGAAAGGACTGAGACACCCTCCATTCAGAAATGAACGTGATGAGAGACAGGTGGCTGCTTTTCAGTGGAATAGAAAGAGAGGGCGAGCAAGGCCTTACACAGTGGCTGAGTGAGAGACTGAGGGGGCGAATACGCCTTACATAAAGGCAGAGTGAGGGAGAGGACTCACATGTAAGGAAAAGGAGAGCGATGCCTTACAGAGAGGCTGGTTGGTTGGAGGTGCGTGCAAGGGTTCCCCGGGGGCCACTGGTGGGACGAGGGAGTAGGAGAGGGGGAGCGTGGGTCTCGGCCTGCTGTCTTTTTTCCTCCCTTCGCACCCGGGTCACTGAGCCCCTGAGGCACTGCAGACTGCAGCCATGCAGAAACACCCGCGCTGGTTTCCAAGGTTACTCCCACCACAAGCCTACCCGCGAAAGCTAATTCACAGCACATGCGGCCTCCCCTTCTCCCTCCCTGCCCCACTGCTGAAGGTGAGTTTTTCCACACCGTTTCACCACAGAGTTGGACGTTTGCTTAAAGCACAAGTATTAGGGAAGCTCTCATTTTCAGTCTTTTAGAAAGCAAAGGGGGTGGAGGAAAAAACAACCCACCACTTATTAGACTATTACATCCCATTATGTGCTAGTGAGAGAAGTTGTTGCAGATCAGCTCTTTCTAGGGGTAGTATCCAAATACAGGTAACTGCCAAAATAAAGGAACACCATTCTTCCACGAGAATTTACATAATTTGGTGTTTTGTTGTTGAAAGTGGTGGAAAACGCTGTCTTAGGTGCATCTCCAGAATCTCCCATGTGTTCAATTGGGTTGAGATCATTTTTATATGTGACCATAATGGGACGTTTTTTATTCAGTTAATTAATAAAGGAACCACACCTGTGTGGAAACACCTGCTTGATAAAATACTTTATCCCTCATTTATTCAAGTGTTTCCTTTTTTGGCATTTACCTGTATGTTGTGCACGTACAATGCGTTTTCACATTAACTTTAGCACCTCTATATAACCTGTAGCTTTAGAACTAATTTAACCGGACTTGT